ATGACATTAAATTATATATATCTATTAATAAAGGTAAATTATATATTATTAATAAAGGTATTAATAAATATATATTTAATAAATATATGTATTAATAAATAAATATTTAATAAATATATGTAAATTATATATATTTATTAATAAAGGTTTTCTCTTTGTTATCTAAAGCCATACTGAGTAAACCTAAAGGTTTTATTGTACGTGTGTCTGAGTGTATGAATGTGTATGATACAGGATAAGTATACACGGAGAGTGAAACATTTAACCACCAAGAAAAACGAAAAGGAAACCAGCTTTATTTACTTTATGAATGTATAATGAAACATCTGAATACCGAAACGAATTTGATATCAAAGCAAGAAAATTGTGGCCCGAACAGGAATCGAACCTGTTATTTCCAGTCAGTGTTCAGTGCCAGCTGACGCTCTACTAACGGAACTAAAGACGTGACAGAGAAGAAATGAAGAGTATAATAATAGATATAACAGGAGAATTAGTGATTAAAACTGGCACATAATTACATCGGTTTTATTAAATTGCTAATGTTATCCACTTGAATTCAAAATTATAATTAGGCTCTAAATGCATGGCAAGTAGTTGCACTGAAGGTTATGTTGTGAATGTTTACCATAGTCTCCCATCGGCTGTTGATTTCGTCACCACGCAACGTCCTCGGGTGATGGAACAAAGGAGGTCTGCGGCAGGAAGCCTTTGTTCAGCAAGGGACAGAAATGTGCAGTGAAACCTTCGAGATGGTGTTATATATATATATATATATATATATATATATATATATATATATATATATATATATATATATGTATGTGTGTGTGTGTGTGTGCGTGTGTGTGTGTGTGTGTGTGTGTGTGTGTATATATATATATATAATATATTATATGTATAAATTCGTATATATATATATATATATATATAATATATATATATATATATATATATATTATATATATATATATATATATATATATATATCACTGCACTGACCAGTGCCCGACCCATAACCCATAACTCAAATCAACTCAAACTAACTCATCTCCACTCCCAAACATTAGCTATATAGCAAAAACCTACGAAAAGTCAGATCCAAGAACTTCCATCTGAAGTCGGGGCCAGTGCAGATTTATGCCAATTAGCGGGTTTTGAGGGTTATAGAAAAAAGGGTTCCAGACTAGGTAGGAACATGAAACTTTGGGGTCTGAACCTAGTCGGCCAATGTTCGAGTAGCAAATTTCATTGGAATCGGCCCAAGAGAAGCCGAGATACAAGGGGGGGACCCCCGAGTGTTATTAGGACGTATATACATACATACACATACATACATACATATAGAGGTACGACAATTTAGAAACAAAAATCTCGATAAGTTGAAATAGATAGAGTGATGGTTGACCACTCGTTCGAAAGCTTATATAAAGCTGTGTGTTTTCTTGGGGTAAGCGACTTCTGAGCATTTTGGCAACACGACAAAATTTACATTTTTATCCGTTTGTCGCCTCTGTAGCTGCTCAGGTGTGAGTTGGTTGACTGAGTTGTGGTGGGGTGTAGGTGGCGTCGGAGAGGGGGCGATAATTTTTTTTTTTTTTTTTTGCTTGGGGGTATGCCACTGAGCATGCTAGTTATTATCATTATTTTATTATCTTTACTATTATCATTATTTTTTATCATCGTTGTTATTGCACTATGGAAAATATTTCCCATCATGCAGAGATCTTAGTCTCGATCGAGTCCTAGATTCATTCGTCTGACTCAGTGTCGACTTTGTTCATTATTGACTGAGTTAAAATTTTCCTGAACTGAACCACTGCACGCCCCATGGACCACATTACCCATACACACATGATGGGTCTCCAGGCAAACCAAACAATATCATTGTTTTGGGTAAAAAATGTATATGTATATATTTAGATATATATGCATTACATATATATGCATATATGTATATCTCTATATATGTATATATACATATATATACATACACATACACATGTATATATATATATATATATATATATATATATATATATATATATATACACATATGCCCACAATACATAGGCCCCTATGTATGTTATGATAAGGTTGGGCTTGTGAGCAGGGGGAATGAAAGGGGTCTTTGTTTGAGAGCTCACTGGGGAGTTAGATGTGTGACCCCCCCCCCCCGAGACCGTTCTCTGGGTGCTGAGGGCGGAGCGGAGACGAGCGAGACCAACGTCTATCCGACCTGACCTCTGCCCTGACCAACATCTATCTGCCCTGTCTGCGTCTCTCTAACGTCGCTCCTACTGTCTGACAAGACATCCTTTTATGCAGCTCTTCCTTGCGAGGGCGTTTTGTTGTTTACGCCACAGAGGTGTCAGAAGTGAAAGCAGAGTGAACACCTGCGTCCACTGAGAGAGGAAGGCAGCTGCCGGGGACAGCGGTGCGAAAGAAGGAACCATCCGGCCTTTGGCATATCGTTGACATATGTGTGTGTGTATATATGTATATATATACATACATACACATATATACATATATATATATATATATATATATATATTATATATATATATATTATATAATGTGTGTGTGTGTGTGTGTATGTGTGTGTAACCCAGCTATATCTATATCTAATTACTATATGTTACATATATATAATCGTACATTTGCCACATACGTATCTTCACACATACATATACATATGCATATACGCCTGACCATTGCTTCCTCTGTTCATTCCTCTCTCCTTGCCTCACCAGACATTAGAATGGTGTGTTGTCTATCTCTTCCAAAGAGCTATGTATTTGTAACGCTTCCTTGTTCATCACCGTTCGTCACGTGCTAACACGTGACTTGGTGCGATCTTTACACCAGTGTATAGGAGATCAGGCAGACTCCCTGCGGGGAGCCAAGGAGCAACACCTCGCTCCGAGGAGCTGCCGCCCTCCAACATCTTATTCAGTAAAGGAGTCAAGACATCTTGGTTGTCTACCTTAACCCTAAGCTCGCCATCTACCAAACTCTTGTAGGACCCAACATTTGTGTGTGTATATATGTATATATGTATATATATGCACATATACATATATATGTGTGTGTGTGCGTGTGTGTGTAAATATATGTATGCATATGTATAAACATATTCATATATATATATATATATATATAATATATATATATATATATATATATATATATACATATACATATATATATATATATATATATATTATATATATATACATATATATATATATATATATATATATATATATATGTATATATATCCATATCTATCTATCTATCTATCTATATATAATATATATATATATATATATATATATATATATATATATATTATATATATATATATATATACACTTCATACTTTTTAATATCTTGTTTCGAAAAGGACCAAAATGAAATTAAAATGAAAACTTCGAGAGTTACAAACCATGATTACTGATTTCTTAAATTATGCCAACACCAAGTTTGCCGAGGAAACTGTAATATTTTTTTTCTATTCTGCCGAGTGAAATGACGATTTGCACCCCCCCCCCCCCGTGGCATCGCGCCTGCATAGAGATAGAGAGAGAGAGAGAGAGATGAGAGAGAGAGAGACGAGAGAGAGAGAGAGAGAGAGAGAGAGAGAGAGAGAGAGAGAGAGAGAGAGAGAGAGAGAGAGAGAGAGAGAGAGAGAGAGAGAGACTAGATATAAAATTAAAGAAATAGTAAGAGATTTTAAATCGCTAAATTACAAAATTTGAATACACGCATATAGAGAAAGTACTGCTGTTCTCTGACAGCGATAAAGACGAGGCAACATTAGCAATGATAATTAGAACTATCAAGTTTTTTTGCAATTATTGAACATTTGATTTTCCATTCATCTTTTCAGATATAAGCAGAGACAATCTCTCTCTCTCTCTCTCTCTCTCTCTCTCTCTCTCTCTCTCTCTCTCTCTCTCTCTCTCTCTCTCTCTCTCTCTCTCTCTCTCTCTCTCTCTCTCTCTCTCTCTCTCTCTCTCTCTCTCTCTCTATATATATATATATATATATATATATATATATATATATATATATATATATATTATATATATCTTTGATACATTCACTGACCAGTCAGAATAACTACAGACACACACACACACATTCGAATCACTTTGTATTCATCAAAACAGTATTACAAAAGTTGACAACTCAACAATAATGATAACAACAGTAACAACAACAACAAAATTAACAACAGCGCCAATAATCCAGCAGTAACAGACGAAAAAAAGTCACAAAACGTTTCTTAATAACACCAGCCAAGTACAGAGGAAGAGAGTCAACATCACGTGTTTTAGAATATTCCGTTCAGACGCAATACCCCCCAACCCCTTCCTCCCCTCCCCCCTCTCTCTCTCCCTGCCTACTCCCTCTCTCTATCTCCTCCCCCCTCTTCTTTCCTTTCCTCTTTCCTCTCCTCTCCCTCTCCACTATCTGCACCTCCCTCCTTGAACCCCCCTCTTCCTCTCCCTCTCGCTTATCTATACATCTCTCCCTTCCCCTTCCTCCCCTCATCCTCCCTCCCTTCCCTCCCCTCTCCCTCTTTCCCCCCGCTCTCCTGCCTCCCCCATCCCTCTTTCCTCTCCTCTCTCCCCGCTCCGTTCCCTCTCCCTCCTACCCTCCCCTCTCCCGGCCCCGCTCCCTCACTCTCCTTCCTTCCCTCCTCTTTCCCTCTCTCGCCCTCCCTCTCTCCTTCTTCCCGCCCCTCTCCCGGCCCCGCTCCCTCACTCTCCTTCCTTCCTCCTCTTCCCTCTCCTCGCCCTCCCTCTCTCCCCGCCCCGCTCCCCTCTCCCTTCCTCCCGCCCCTCTCCCGCCCGCTCTCTCCTTCCTCTCCTCTTTCCCTCCCCTCGCCCTCCTCTCTCCCCGCCCCGCTCCCCTCTCTCCCTTCCTCCGCCCCTCTCCCGGCCCCGCTTCCTCCCTCCCTCCCATCCCCTCCCTTCTCCCCCCCCCCCGTCCGAGCAGCAGCAGCAGAACCACAACAACGATGGCTGCGTCGCGGGGAGGTCGGTGCAGGACTCCGCTTCTCTGCTTTTTCTGCTGCCTGCTGATCGCCCTCTTGTTCCTCGAGGTGTGCGATGCCTCGAGGACCACCTCGGCCTCCTCCTCGACCCGACTCATAAGGGTGAGGAGGGAGGAGGAGCTGAGAAATCCCCTGGAAGTGACTGCTGGCGCTGGTCAGAGGCGGGCAGCAGGTGACACATTTGCTGCTGACAGTCACAGGAGAGTCAGCAGAGCCGCTGACACCGATGACACCCAAGGCACAGGTGACCCTACAGTCTCCGTGGTGAGTTTTTTGAAGGTTTTGAGGAAGATTTGAGTAATTGAGAGGGATAAATTTGTTTCTTTTGGGTGGAGGAAGGGCATTGTTGGTCTTGCATTAGGAAATTGCCATTTTTTTCCTTTATCAAGTTTGTTTTTGAGGATTGTTTATTTTCCTTGGTGTAGGAGAGAAGACGAAGATGTATTTCTTCGTGTATTTGTATCAGAAGACATAAAGATCTTGTGTATTTGACGAAATTTTGAAAGAGAGAGAGTGAGAGTGCAAAATTACACAAGGGAACTTCTTTGTTGAAAATCTTTGTTTATAGTGAAAGAACTACATGCAGTAAAACCAGATTTGAAATTTATGCGTTTAAACATGTGATTGTAGAAGTAGAATAATACCAATACAGTTATGTCATAGGAAACTCTAGTAATTGTGTAATATTGCGGTTTGAAGTCGCATTCTATGGTGGATGATTCGTAACCTGTAAATCCCATTAATTGCAAGAGCAAAAGAGATTTGGATGAAGGCAATCCTCTTAATAAAACACCTGTCAGAGCATTAGTGCTGTAATCTCTGCGGCCACCGTACCTTCAGCTCTCCTGCAAAGGGCAACGAGCTTCCATCTGATACATGTTACAACAGATTGCTACGGTGGTCTACGAGCTCTCTCTTGCCAGAGCATATGCTGTAAAGGCCTTTTGCCTATTTTGTCTTTTTCTTTTGTTCTTTCACCCCTCTCTCTCTTTCTATAGTTATTTTTATCTTCTTTTATGACCCTTTTCCCCCCTTTTGTCCATTTTGTCCATTTTGTCCATTTCTTGGAGTGCTGAAGACTTGTAGGCCATGGCAGTTACTTGTCATTACTAGTTTATCTTGAATTGCTAATATGGGTTAACCACCACTTTTGGCAGATAATTTGTTATGATTAGTAATGTTCTTTAACATGTTTTTCATTATGGGCATAATTTTTTTTACTATTATTATTGTTATTATTATTATATCGATAGGATCCTCGTTAAAAATTATTATTTGTAGAAAACCCATTGCTGCCACACCTGTTGGCTTTCAGGCAAAGGCCAACTAGTTTTCCCCCTCCCCCTTCGAATACTCTCGCCAGACAGAACATTTAGATCTCGTAGGTGATTTATCATTGGAGAACGAAACTTAAGCTCCGTCATAATAGGACATATGATATGAATTGGCATACAAGGGAAGATAATGCTAAGCATACTACTGCATAGTAATGATGTGTGGCGCTGAGATGTAGCCAGTGAAGAGACCGATAAGGGAGTAGATACGGGAGTCAAATAGAATGAGGATCTTGGTGTTAACGGCAAGTTAGAAAAGGAATTGGAAAGCAAGAGGAGAGTTGATGGAATAGATTGCTTTGTTAATGTTCTGTGATTGAGATGTGGAATGTAGGACACAACTAAAGACGTAGTAGGTTATATATATACAGATATATGTATATATATATATATATATATATATAATATATATATATATATATATATATATATATATATATTATATATCTATATATCTATATATCTATATATATATCTATATATATATATATATCTATATATCTATATATCTATATATCTATATTATATATATATATATATATATATATATATATATATATATATTATATAGTATATATATATATATATATATATATATATATATATATATATTATATATATATATATATATATATATATATAATATATATATATATATATATATATATATATATATATATTATATATATATATATGTATATACATATATATATATATATATATATATATATATATATATATATATATATATATATATATATATATATATATATATATATATATATATATATATATATATATATATATATATATATATATATATATATATATTTATATATATTTATATATATGAATAAAGTGAGTTATACCAGATGGTATAAATAATGTAATCGGCCCTCCCTAAATATCCGCTGAGTCTCGTCTCCCTCCAAGGGCTTTGTGCACTCATGAGAAGTCATCGCCTGCCACTTGGCACCAATATTTCTTGAGGACTTGTGTCATCACCCCGACCCATAGCCAAATTTTTTCATGATAACGCATTCCCATCACTCCCCACTTGGCCAAATTTTTTCACAATTTAACAGCCACTTCACTTGGATCCAATGAGTTGATATTATTTTTGTGTCCTAAACTTCCTATCATCAATTGAGTGTCTTATTATGTCTCTGGTAGTGTTTGTCATATTAGTGTTATAGTATATCTTTTAATAGCTTTGTAGTTTATCTTTTAAAATCATTACAGTATTTCTCTGGTTTTTGAAAATTTCTCTTCTTAGTGTTTTTCTATTGTGTTTGTGTCTCTTTTATTAGTCTAATATTCCTCTTCTTCTTATCAATGGTGTTTGTCTTAACAGTGTTATAGTGTTTCTGTTATCAGTGTGATAACTCTATAATTTTGTCACATTTGTAGGGTTTCTCTTATTGTCCCCTTGTACAGTGCTTTGCTTTCTTATCAGCATTACAGTGAGATAAGAGAAATGGTAATCAGTCTTGTATGGTTACTTTATCATTGTTGTAGTATTTATATTATTGTTTCTTATCAGCATTGTAGTGTTTTCTTAAAAGTTTTGTTGAGTTACTTTTATCAGTGTTGTATTTTTCTCTTTGGCCTATCATCACTTACCACAATGTTGTAGGGCCTCTTATCAGTTTTGTGCTTCTCTTAACAGTATTGTAGCATTTCTCTTATCAGCAGATTTCTTAGCATTTCTCTTATCACATTGTTGGAATTCTTAGCATTTCTCTTATCAGCTCTAGCATTATCAGCCGCATTATCAGCTCAGGCATTTCTGTTGAGCATTTCTCAGCCAGGAGCATATCAGCATTGTTGGATTTCTCTTAAGGATTTAGCATTTCAGCATTGGAGCATTTCTTTTATTGTGGTATGTGTTGTAGTGTGTCTCCTGTCATCTCTTGTGGCAATTTTGTAGCATATCATGTCTTATATCAGTCTTTGTTTCCTGCATCACAGTTGTAATGGTTCTCATATCAACGATTTCTCTTTCTGTTGTTGTAGTGTTTCTCCTATTATCCCAAATTACAATATTGTAATGTTTTTCATACATTTGTGGCCAAATTTCACAAGAACAGAACACTATGAGTTATAGAATGGGTCTGATGTCTAATAGAAGTGGAATAATATATTAAGAAACAGAAGATAGGATCAGAGGTTTGTTGGAAATGGGCTGGCAAAACCAAGGTCCCAGTCTGCTGTGAGGTATTGTGCTAGTTAGCTGCAGATTTACTTCCCCCCTCCCCTCAAAGAATGTAAAAAAAAGAAAAACATTGTTGGTCTTGTAGTTCTGAGGTTATAGTAAAGATTTCTTTGCATTGCAGATTTTTTTCTGTGAGGTTTTTCTTTTTCTGTATCAGGGAAATATGTATGATTTTAAAAGATAAACTTATATGTTTTTATCATTTTATTTGTATATATATATTTTTTTATGGTGTGGGTACATTTTAAAGGTTTAAATTTAGATGATCTCTAACCATCTGACCTACTTCTACTCTGCAGTATAAATTGGTGAATGACAGTCATCATCAGTTGATCATAAATTGGGCTGGAGAGGGAAGTAAAGTGGTGGTGTGTATGACACGCGACTCGGCCCCAAATGAATCATCAACGTCGAATGTATATGTGTCCTACGACTATGGAACGACATTTCAAGATAAGACGAGCAAATTCCGAAAAGCATCGCAAAAGCCAGCCATCATCCATAAGATGTACAAGAATGATAAATTCACCTCGGTGGTAAGTTGGTATTTCATCACATATCTTTTACATATATGTTATTTGTATTTTTTCTTTCTTTCTGCCTTTTTTTGATATGTAATAGTGTATCATATTGGTCTTATTATCATACCCATGTAATTTATTATCATAACTTTTGGGTGTTGAATGATTGATTTTCTAACTGCAGTTTGTGTTTACGGACATCATCAACAAAATCATCTACGTGACAAGAGACTACTGCCAGAATGTGACAGCTCATGGGGTTTCTTTCACACCCTCGGAAGTAAGCCATCATCCAGTAGATGCAGAGGTTCTTCTCGTCTACGACATTGAAGATGAAGAGCGACGGGTTAGTTGCATTTTTAACTGTTATTGATATTGGATTATTTTTGCTAGCGGCAGAAATTTTAGACTAATTATTAAACTGTTTAACATGCCTTAATGGCAAAAATATATTCCATGACCACTGTGATTTTATTTTACTAATTTTTTTTGCTCAACAAGAGCTTAGTTGACAAGAGTTGAAATACTAGTCCTACTTAGCTTCACCTTCTTACCCTTTTCCTTGATTCTCGTAAAAAGATTATTTTTGTTTCTCATTGCCATTTGTACTGATAATACCGTCTTAGTAATAACACCACATCAATCCCAATAGCATAATTAAGAGCATTAGATAAGAATAAGAAAATTTTAGGAATGGAGATATAAGATTAGTGTTGCAGGATAAGATGAGTGTAGGCAGGCCTTTTAATTGATTAATTGACTTGTGGTTAGCCATCTGTGTATAAACAAAATTCCCCAAGCAAAACTTCAGTGGACAGTGCAATTACTCGGCACCAGTGGGTTAAATTATGAGTTTTTGTTC